AGTAATGAAGCCAATTCATAGATGTCTGTAGATCTATGAATGTCTGTGGATGTTGTCTTAATTATATATGCTTTGGCAACACTGTAATTCATCAGTCCTGCCAAAAAAGCAGTTTGAATTGAATTGAAAGTGAGAGCGAGAAAGACCTAGAGTGAACAAGGAAAAGCGAGAGTGAGGTCAGAGATCGCGAGAGTGAGGTCAGGGATCGCGAGAGTGAGGTCAGAGAGCGCAAGAGTGATGTCAGAGAGTGCAAGAGTGAGGTCAGAGAGCCCAAGAGTGATGTCAGAGAGTGCAAGACTGAGGTCAGAGAGCGCAACAGTGAGGTCAGAGAGTGCAAGAGTGAGGTCAGAGAGAAAGTGAGGTCAGGGAGAGCAAGAGTAAGGTCAGAGAGCGCCAGAGTGAGGTCAGGGAACGCGAGAGTGAGGTCAGAGAGTGCGAGAGTGAGGTCAGATCGAGAGTGAGGTCAGAGAGAGAGAGAGAGTGAGGTCAGAGAGAGTGAGAGTGAAGTCAGAGAGTGCGAGAGTGAGGTCAGAGAGAGAGTGAGGTCAGAGAGAGAGAGAGAGTGAGGTCAGAGAGAGTGAGAGTGAAGTCAGAGAGTGCAAGAGTGAGGTCAGAGAGAGAGTGAGGTCAGGGAACGCGAGAGTGAGGACAGAGAGCGCCAGAGTGAGGTCAGAGAGAGAGAGAGTGAGGTCAGAGAGAGAGTGAGGTCAGGGAGAGCGAGAGTGAGGTCAGAGAGAGAGTGAGGTCAGGGAACGCGAGAGTGAGGTCAGAGAGCGCGAGAGTGAGGTCAGATCGAGAGTGAGGTCAGGGAACGCGAGAGTGAGGTCAGAGAGCGCAAGAGTGAGGTCAGAGAGAGAGAGTGAGGTCAGAGAGAGTGAGAGTGAAGTCAGAGAGTGCAAGAGTGAGGTCAGAGAGTGCAAGACTGAGGTCAGAGAGAGAGTGAGGTCAGGGAACGCGAGAGTGAGGACAGAGAGCGCGAGAGTGAGGTCAGAGAGAGAGTGAGGTCAGGGAGAGCGAGAGTGAGGTCAGAGAGCGCTAGAGTGAGGTCAGAGAGCGCTAGAGTGAGGTCAGAGAGCGCGAGAGTGAGGTCAGAGAGAGAGTGAGGTCAGAGAAAGAGAGCAAGAGTGAGAATGAACACGACTTCTCGTCAACTAACCCCAACCATATCCCCCACAGAGCCAGACTGACGGTGCCCTGCTGCTTCCTGGCCACAGCCAGCTGCACGACCCCGGCTCAGACTAACCACTCAGGAACCATTTATCCCTCAGGTCCAGGGTGGGCACTGAATCCAGCACATTCCTAGAGAGACTGGGAGTTTCCTAAACTGTGCATTTTGGAAATGATGCATTATACAAAGAGAAATGACCAGGAAATGAAAGGTAACGAAAGCAGTCATGCTGGCAGTATCAGTCTTCGAATCACCATTGTCAAGGACAGAGGTGACACAACAAGGGAAGGACAATCATCTCATCCTGCTCAATAGGATGCTAATCGCTAACTAACTGATCTGAGGATCCCAGCCTGCTGGTTCTCCGTTGATCCCAGGGAACCTGCCTCAGCAGCATGACGAGGCAGCTTATTTCAGCTGGCAGCACTACCAGTGTGAGAGCAGGAGTCCATGCCAGTGTCTGCAACTGGGCCACAGTGACAATCAGCATCAGCAACAGAGCCAGGAACATGACCGTGATCAACATCAGTATGAGAATCGGCAGCAGCAGCAACAACACTCCTGTCAGTATCAATAACAAATAAGCGCACTCTCACCTGTATGATAATCAACATCATTTTCCTTAACAGCTGTATTTTTACCAATATGCACATTAGAAGAGTAACATTGTAGGTAACAGTAGTAGTTAGCAAACTTGGCAATATCATTATCAGTAGCTATATCACTAGTAGTTTAAATATCCATATTTATATCATATACAGGTAGGAAAAATAGTTTGTGTAATGCTATCCAAATTAGTAACAATAATGACTCCTAACTCCTAACTGCACATTCTGTAGTAACGGTATCAATGTTATCAATAACTGTAATGGTAATGTCACTCTCTATTGGTATTGGTATTGGTAATACTATTGGTATTGATATCATTAGCATCAATACTAACATTTCTAGTCTCAGCCTAGGTGTCAGTGATAAGTAAGAGTGTGCCTTTTAGCAACAGTATCAGCACTAATATCACTGTCAGTAAGAGTGTGCCTGTTAATAACAGCAGCAGTATTAATATCACTGTCAGTAAGAGTGTGCCTGTTAATAACAGCAGCAGTATTAATATCACTGTCAGTAAGAGTGTGACTGTTAATAACAGCAGCAGTATTAATATCACTGTCAGTAATAGTGTGCCTGTTAATAACAGCAGCAGTATTAATATCACTGTCAGTAAGAGTGTGACTGTTAATAACAGCAGCAGTATTAATATCACTATCAGTAACCGTGTGGCTAATAGCTTCAGTACAGGTATCAATCAATGCGATCCTTATGTGAGAATGTGACACTATCAGTAACAGTGTGGCTATTACAATCTCTGTCTTAGTCTCGGCATCAGATATGACTCCCAGTATCAGTATCCTTATCAGTATTAGTGTCAGTGTCAGTTTCAGTGTCAGCACCAGTGTCAGTATCTGTGTTAGTGTCAGTGGCAGTATCAGTGTCAGATATGACTCCCAGTATCAGTATCAGTATTAGTGTCAGTGTCAGTTT